GCATGAGCCTCCATATTGAGTCCCTATCTAGGCTGTCAAAAGCTTTCTCGTAGTCAACAAAGTTAACGTACAGGGAAGAGTTCCACTCTGTGGACTGCTCCACTATTATCCTCAAAATTGCAATCTGATCTGTACATGATCTCTTTTTACGAAATCCTGCCTGCTCCACTCTTAGTTTTGCATCCACGGCTTCCTTCAGTCTTTCCAGATACAATAGTAAAACACGACGTAAGGTTAGGGATAACAGATCTATATTTTTGTACACACCTATTAGCTGTATTGTAGAAAATTCTTTAATCAATACAATATAATTGCTTTTAAAGCAAGTCCGTCATTTTCTTTTTTAATCGCGAGATTATCTTTATTGAACAAATGTTTTGAGAACCTTTAGTGCAAAAAAGTGTTCACTATAAAATTAATTTCTTGTAATTAGTTTTGCCATTCTAGAGTGTCTGTCGTGAGTTGTGACGAAAGCCATAAGCATACGCAAAATGTGTTTGAGAAGAAGGAAGTGCAGTGAACAAAGTCCATTTTCCGCGCGAAGGAGATTTGTAGTATTTAATAACTTTATATAAATTTACGAAGAAAAGTTTTTAAATCTATCGCAAATTGTTGAGAAAAATAATTTGATTAATGAGTTCAGAAAAATTGATATAAACTGCTGTGCAAAGAATGGGTGGCTTTGATTCACACGTTAAAAAGATATTATGGGGTAAGTTCACACGTTAAAAAGATATTTTGGGGTAAGTTCACACTTTAAAAATATATTTTGGGGTAAGTTGCGCAACGTATTTTTGACCGCACTATAGACGATGTTTGCGCTTCTTGCCAGCTGATTGTAAGGGGAAACCGACAGTACCAGGAAAACATATACACAGTCACAAGTTACACGTGTGCTGGCTGCCTGTCCGACCCCGACACTCGCTAAGACATGGATGCGGGCTAATAGCGTGTGTGTTTGTATGAAAGGAAGCACTGATTGGTGCCAAAGATCAGTTCAAACTGCTAGCGACTTCGTTGAATCCGAGCCTACTCATTTATGTGTACGTTGAATCCGAGTATTTTAATTGATTTTATGAATAGAAAACATCCGGGAATCCAGCTCCTCTCGTTGAATCCCAGTTTTCGTTGATGCCAAGTTTGTTGAAACCGAACAACATACATATATATATATTTATATATA